TTAGAGTCTTTTTATTCTTTTATATTTTAGGGCTATAACACTAAGCAAGTCACCTGTTCCATTTGTGTTAAGGATCAACCCAGCTCTGAATATTCAGATGTTTGAAAAACTAAGAATTATTTTAAAAATAATTTTACAAATAATTTTACAGATGTATCCTAGAAAGGTTTGGCTACAGGATTATTAACAATAATAATAATTATAAATGTCTACCAAGCAAAGCTTCTGGCATTTGGTGTCATGAACTTGAATCTATGCTCTGCTACTTGCTGATTATATAATAGTGAGCAAGTTAGATAACCTCATCAAGTCTCCATTTTTCCCATTTGTAAAATGGGAATCATAGTATCTCACAGGATAGTTGAAATTAAATAGATAATGCATGTTAGATCCTTAATACTGAGGAAGGAGTCAATTAAGGTTTGCTGTTTGGTGATTATAACATAAAAAATGAAACATATGTCATAAATAATGGAAAGGCTGGCAGTCTCTGGAGGTCTCTTTCAGGAAACACCCTGTCTGGTGTCTCCTGCAAGCATGAGAGTGATTGGCATGAGTTTGAGCCTACATCATTCTTCAACTAAGACAATTCTTTGCTTAGTTTTAACCTAAACAAACTCCTGTGTGTAGAATTAGATTCCCAATTCCACACATCTTATTCTTATATAAATTGTCTTTGACATAAGTCCTCCTGCCAAAGCGCCCAGTGTCAGATGTATGGATGTAGAAAAGAAGAAAATAAAAAGAATTTGTGAAAAACAAACTCCTGTTTTCAAAGTGTGAAGGTGACTCTCAAGGCACATTTCCATAAATGATTAGACTGTCTAAATAGACACCTCCATGTATCTCCCTCCATTTCTGATTCAGTCATTCATTTGATGCATATTCACTGTGTGCCCAATACATGCCAACCTCTTGTTTTGACTTTTGGGAAAATCAATGAACAAGATAGACTACAACCTGTCCTCAATCTATGCACTCAATAAATGCAAAAACATAAAGATAATTTCATAGAGTGGTAAGTGCTATAAATAAAGCATGGCAATGGGTAAGGGTGTGATGGGGAGGAGGACTATTCTGGCCATCAGTGAAAGTCCCTCTGTAGAGTGTGGACTTAGGAGTGAAGCCTGGAGGATAAGAAGGTGTCAGTCTAGCAAAGACCTAGAAAATGATCACTCAGGCAGAGAATACAGCAAGTACAAAGAGACTGTGATGGGACATTCTAGGGACTGGCATGGCAAGCGTGGGGCAGATGTGCAGTTCACAAAGGACATGGAGATGCATGCGGTTGGAACGGAAGGCAGAGGCCAGATCATGAAGGGCTTTCAGGTCATGGCAAGCAATTTGGCTTTATTCAAGTTTCAGTTGGAAGTCATAACAGATCTTTAACAAACTGTGCTTTAGAAGATCAGGCTGGCTGCTGGGTGGAGAATGAATGGATTATAGGGAAGCATGAGTGGACACAAGGACATCAGTGAGAAGGTTACTGCAGTGGTTTAGTCAAGGGAAGCAAGGGCTAACATGAAGGTGGAGATGGCAAGAAGTATTTTGGATGTAGAGCCATCAGGACTTAGTGCTTCATGGGTGGGAAGGGATAAGAGAGGCAACAAGAATGACTCCTAGATTTTTGGGTTGAGAAACTGCATGGATGGTGGCTTGTGCTATTAATGGGATGCAGAAGTTTTGGAGAAAAGAATCATTGGGGAGGAAAAACCTTAAGCTCCATCTCAGACACATTAGGATACTGGTGGTCATCCAAGTGGAGGTGTCTAGTAGGTAGCTGAATAAGAGTATTGGTATTCAGAGGCAGAGTCAGAGTTGGAAATGAACAGAAGGAAGTTATCGGAACACAAGGAAGTTATCGGAACACAGGTGATATCTAAAGCCATCAGATTGGATGAGATCACCAATGAAATGTGTGTGTGTGTGTGTGTGTGTGTGTGTGTGTGTGTGTGTGTGTGTGTGTGTATTAAATTTAATTTTATTTTAAAGTTGTGGGGTACAAGTCAGGATTGCATACATACGTGGTTCGGTACAGGTGAAGTTTTGGGCCTCCCATTGGACCTCACTTCACCTAGATTAGGATCAAGTACACTTATTAATGTTATATGCCTCTCCACCCTAACCTCTGGCCATGTCCTGCTATTGCCAATCCATTTTTTGTAGTATTATGATAGGTGTTCAGAATCCACTTATGAGTGAGAACATGTGGTACTCAGTTCTTTGTTTCTGTGATAGATCACTGAGCATGATCTGTAGATGAAAAGTCTGAGACCTCTAAAGCCCTCTGACACACAAAGACACAAAGACCCAGCTGCAAAACAGGAGTCCGTAAAGGAAGGAGAGGAGGAGGGACCAAGGACAAAGGAGAAAAGTCTAGAGAAGTCTGGAGAAAGAATGTTTTAGCAAGAAGGTGTCAAGTGCTCCTGAGAGGAGTTAGAGGAGAGAAGCTGAGCCTTGGGTAGCTGAGTGTGGGTGGGTGAGATGGAGGACAGTGATGATGTCTTCCATTGGTGGGAACTAAGGTTTGACTGGAGTGAGTGTAAGAGAGATTGAAGACAAGAAGGTGAAGAGAACAAGAATAGAAACTTTGGAATTTATTTTGCTGCAAAGGAGACAGAGACATAGGAGTAGGTAGAAGGAGACACTGTCATGAGAGAGATTCTTTCTTTTTCTTATGACAGGTGATTATAAAGCAAAGAAAGAGTAACAACAGAGAAATTAATAAGAAGAGATGAAAATTCTTCCATGAGGGTTTATAAAACCACCAGAGGTCCTACATGGGTATGGTTCTATTCTTGTTCTCTTCACCTTCTTGTCTTCAATCTCTCTTACACTCACTCCAGTCAAACCTTGTTTAATCGGCTTGCTTTCTTCAAATGCCCAAGAAAAGTTAGACAGAAGTGTTGGGGCCCTGGGGTTTTAAGAAGACTGCAGAAAGTGAAAGCACCGCGAGGAAAACATGTTTTGAGTTTCCAGCAATTGGCTTGCAAACGCGCTTTTGGAAAACAACCCATTTTTTAAGCTTGGGAGTGCCTGGATTACATTAGAAGCAAGGAAAAACTTGCTAATTTAATGGGAGCCGGCAAGCTGAATAAACTAATTTATGTGATTCCAGATTTTGTTTCCTGTTAATCTATCTAAGTAATTAGTCTGTATAATCAAAATGAAGCCCAAGGCTAAGTATAATTGCGGTTTCTTGGTACATACATACAATCTTACACACTGCTTTGAAGGCTAGGAGAGCTTGGGAGAAGAGGGAGCCTACAATTTCTGTTGAAATTTTAAATACAGATGTTCTATTTTACAAGGAAATCTTCCAAGAAACTGCCAAATGGCCTTGTAGTCCTGTAAGATTTAGGAATACTGGTTTGGTGAACTTTGGTCTGCTATTTTATTATCACCTAGCAAAGAAACCTCCTGGACTTCAGTTAACACTTCCTAAGTAAATAAATACGTTTTCCTTTTTTTGAGATGGAGTCTCACTCTGTCGCCCAGACTGGAGTGCAGTGGCACACTCCTGGCCACCGCAGCCTCGACCTGCTGGGCTCCGGCGATCCCTCCGCCTCAGCCTTCCAAATAGCTGAAACTACAGGTGCGCACTACCACGCCCGGCTAATTTTTTGATTTATTGTAGAGACGAGGTCTCACCAAGTTGCCCGGGTGGGACTCAACCTGCAGGTTCAGGCAATCCACTCACCCAAAGTGCTGGGATTACAGGCTGAGCCTTTGAGCCCGGCTATAAATACGTTTTCATGTGAGTAGAAATGAAAAATTATTCCAAGTAATTCTGAAATTATTTGACTTCAAATGACTTTTGGCCATTTCCTCAGATGAATATATCCTTAAAATACAAATATGTGCCCACAATGGGGATAGTCGAAGGAATATTCTGAGACTTGAGAGTCAAAACCCCAAGAGGAGCAGCCAATGGGTTTTGCAAATGGCCACCTCCTCGGAATAGGTATAACATCTCCCAAGTCATTACTGTGAAGAGGCTGACACTTGTTTGGATTGCATGTTTTGGTGGGCTTGCTTAAAAAAACAATACACACACACATAACATTACTTCTTTGAGTCAAATATTTTATAAATTTCTCTAGCTCTATATATTTAGTAACAACATTTATGATATAGATTAGCAACATTTCTGACATTTTAGGTAGAGGAAGCTCAGAATTAACACTCAAAATTAATTTTTCTAATTTTGGGAGTTGAATTATTTGTTTCTAAAGCAAAGACATTCATAACTATCAACAGAATTCCAAAAGAGAAGCTCCAACTAATGCTTTGGGAAGAAGCAGTCTCATTGGGATACCATGACCAATTCCAAATGTGACTTTTGGAAGGGAAACACTCATTTACATGTGTGTCTCCTGGAGCATTTGTTAGCAAAGAACTCAACCTCGCTGATGTACAGTCACACTTAAGAAAGCCATCTCCACACTGAGAGTTCCATGGAGTCTCACGTATTCCCTAAGGACTGCATAACAAGAAGGCATATTTTGCCCCTGCGATCCCATGTTCTAGGAAACTGAATCAGGGAGCAATTCATTTGGAAATTTATCTCAGATTGCATGTATTACATCAGCATCAGAATTTTACCAGTTATGCAGTACTTCTTACAGATACTAAATAACAATACAAAATTAGCTTGATTTAATCGTCTCACAGTATAAACATATGTCAAAACACCCCATGAATATATACTATATACAATAATTATTTGTCAATTAAAATAAAATTAATCCTAATTACTTGATCTGATCATTACACACTGTACACATATACCAATATATCACATGTGCCCCATAAATATGTACACCAATTGTGTATCAATAAAAAATTTATAAAACAAAAAATATACATATATGTATTTTTAAATTTTCTAAGCATGGCTTCCCCACATATGCGACGTAAATGATAATCCACTATAAACTAGACATCTTTCTGGTGAATAAGTACATGACCCATTTATAGGTTTTATATATTTGCACAACTTACATGAGCATGCCCTCTGGGGTCATTCGTCCAGTTTGAATTAAATGGGCTCCAAATTTAAATCCTGCTGCATAAGCAAAATATACAAAGGCATGGCTGAATGCATAACAGCTTCCAGTGATCTGTGTTTTCTTCAAGGTATTTCTGAAATGCAAAAAAATTTTCCAAATAATGGGGCATGAATTATAGCAAGGTCAATTTAATAAATGTAGAGTAGTGAATATAGAGGACTTTGAAATATTAAAATTTAGTGAATATGCATTTTTTTCTAAGCATTAAAGAAAAAGTCTTTTTTTTACTAGTGAGAATTATTTTGAAGACAGATAATATAATGATTTTTCTATAGCTATATACTCTAGTGTAGCGAAGTTCATTTTATGTACTTTCCAGTGAATGGACAGACTGTGAAAGAATAGCTGGTGTAAGAGTTAAAGAGATTTGGTTTAGAGTTATTTAGAAATATTCTCTAATTCTCTATTATAATATTTCATTAACAGAATAAATAGACTTCAAGGGTGATACCAACAACAAGCACGAGTACAAAAGAGGACAAAGCTATCTTTCTGATAGAGTAATACAAAGATATTAAGTCAACAGAATAAGGAGGACTAGTTTCAAATTAAAAGGAGTAAGCACATTTATTGTGTATATATTTATTTTGAAATGTAAATTGTTTCAGGAATTTAATGTAAAGGGCTGAGCAATCTTCTTTTCTTTCTTGTATATGTTATTTCATCGATCTTCTTTCAGGAAAACAAGAAAAATAATGCACATTTAATAACACACAGTTCATGGTAATATGGGAGGATCTAAAATATTTGTTCTAATTGTATGCCCTTGATTCCTCTTCTAGTTTTCTTGTGGTGAAGTCATATGAAGCATCATGATATGCCATTATTAGGAAAGATGACAGAGCAAATGGATTGGCGGGCAAGTCACTGAAGTTGCTCAGGAGGACTGCCTTTGCAGAACACAAGATGGTGAATGGAGTCATCATGAATCCACAGTCACCTGTGTTGCGTCTTAAGCGTCTCTTCATACTTTCGCTCAAAGGCTTTTTCTCTTGTTAATGACACTATAGTACGTATATTCTCCACAGCTTCAGTTGCTATCTTATAAAATAGGACAATACAATATAGAAATAAAGGTAGCAATGGTTAATCTCTTCCTGGTTGTGAATTCCAGTCATTCCCCTGGGGACATATTAAGTACATCAAGTCAATATGTTTTCTTGACGAGTATTCTTAGCTCCTCCCCCCTCCAAATGAGATAGGAAAATGATACTTCAGGACAATAGGCTTAAAGGAGATTTCTTTTGAGAAGATTTAGTCAACTGATCTAAGTTTCACCTCCTTCAATTTTTTACCCAATTTCTATTTAAATTGCATCCATAGACAAAATAATCAAATATTAGCAAGCATTATGTTTACATACAAAGGAGCTTCCTATAAATTATGAAACAATTCAATTAAAAGGTAGCAGGGAGCCTCGAATAATTATTTTATTCTAGCACAGAAATGCAAATCGCAATTGAAAAGGACTCAGAGCTGGGCTCGGTGGCTCAGCCCGTAATCCCGCGCCTTTGGGAGGCTGAGGTGAGTGGATTGCCTGAACCCACGGGTTCGAGATCCACCTGGGCAACTTGGTGAGACCTCATCTCTACAATAAATAAAAAATTAGCCAGGTGTGGTAGTGCGCACCTGTGGTTCCAGCTACTTGGAAGGCTGAGGCGGAAGGATCGCCGGAGCCCAGCAGGTCGAGGCTGCAGTGGCCGGGAGCGGCCACTGCACTCCAGTCTGGGCGACAGAGTGAGACTCCAACTCAAAAAAAAAAAAAAAAAAAATTAAAAAAGAAAAGGACTCAGGAACATTCTAGTAAAGTAACATGGGACATGGCTACAAAATTCTCTATAAGATAAAGCCATTTCTCATTCTGATGTCTGTGAACTTTAAAAATATTTGATTTAAATATGATTAATGCCCCTCTATATTTATATAGTTTTCCAAAAGAATGCATAATTATATGGGATTCAAAATGAAACAGACTTTTGGCTTTAAATAACTTTTTGGATGTGAGAATAGAAGTTGGATTAAAAAAGAAACTTCCTGTTTTTACATTCTGTTTCTAGACTGATAGAGCAGATTGTGGGACAGGGGAGAGCCCACTGGACACAGCCTTATCTAAAGGAGAACTTGGGTTGCAGGAAAGAACTAGATTTTTGGACTGTGATCAGGGTACCTTGATTCGGCTCTCAGTTTTGATGCTGAGTAGTTTTAAATTCTTGTTCATCTAAAAATGAACTCAGAGAAATCTCCATTTGTTACATATCCTGTAGTATACAAAGAAAGTGGATAAGAACACCGAAACCTTGTTTGAGGGGGAAAAAAGAGAAATAAACTAAAAAAAAAAACCCTTTGTAACTGTTTTCACAATGGAGAAAAGACTAATACCATTACAGAACCTTAGAAAATAGTCTTTAAAATCCTAATATAGACATTTCAAGCCTGAAATATCAAACATTTGATGATTTGTCCAAATCTACACACTCAACTAAAGAGGGACCAATATATTTCATTGGTTTATATTTTATTTTAATTTTTTAAAGAAATGCCTTTTAATTTAGGCAAATAAAGCTCAAGAAGCTGGGGTTCTCATCTGTGGTGCCCGGCCTTCCTGCCTCTGCCTGGGGTCACTTCCCAATCAGAGGTCCAGTGTCTCTCCAGAACCATGAAAAAAGGTCATTCAGGTGACTCATCATTGACCTGGGCTCAACAAGCCTAGCCACCATCACATTTTCATATATCTGATCTACCAGCAGCTGGGCCAGGTGAGGCTTGTGCTCTCTCAGCTGACTGAGTTTCCTGATGAGTGTGTGCCCGGAGTTCTGAAGAACTCCCCAGCAGTCTGGAAGGAACGTGAATTACGAGCACCAGCCTCACTCATTGGTCTGTATTTTAAACTGGTGTTTGGTAAATCGACTTATTAAAAGCCATAGGGAAAGGCTTCAGTTTGCCTGTTTGTTGTTTAGAGTTATGGATTGTATAGGTTTAGCTTACTCTAATAATACAAAAAGGAAAAGTTGAAGGGCACATACACAACTAAAGCTCATGATGTAAAAAATAAGATGTGTAAAATATCATTAATTAGTCGTCATTAATTTAGAAATTGTGCAAATGAGCACAATGTTTAAATCAGAGAAGGCTAAACCACTGTTCGTTGTCTCTGAGGCAAGTATTTGCCAAATCCTTTATTTTATGCAGCACAAGCAAACATTCCAAGGGTCCTTATCTAGTGTAAGAAAGACAGAGAGGTCCAAGGGTCAAGCAAATCTGAGTACGATGAGTCATGTGCTTGGCATCCTATTTCATGAATATTCATGATATTTATACTGTACCAGTTGTGCCATAGTCACTGTGATACTGACCATAAATGATAGATGGGGGACCCCCGAAAAACCAGAATGATTTTTTGGAGTACAGAGCCCTTGTAGTACAGGCTTCACCACTAGGTAAGTGTTCTAGGAACCCATTGGCATCAGTGTACCAGCTAGCATTGTTATGAGAGACTGTGTTCAACTTTTTTTTGGAGATTCTTCCAAAGCGTTTGCCCATTTCATGATGAATGATTTACGAGCACCGCCTGCCCACACCACACTGAATGTTCAGCAGTTTTTTAATCAAAAACCAGCATGACCCCCATGCCTTACCCTCCATATTCACCTAATCTTATCCCAAGCAACTTTTAAATTTTGTTTCCCTGGATGAAAAACGTCCTTAAAGGGAAATGTCTTGCCAATGTGGTAGACAAAAACGCCAATATGTGTGAAACAAAAAAACGGCAGAAACACTAAAAGGCATCAAGACTGATGAGTTCAAAAACCATTTTGAGCCCTGGAAAAAGTATCTGAAAAGGTGTATTGCATCAAATGGAGAGCACATTGAAGGTGACTAAATGTATGAATAAATACACAATTTTTAATAAATAAATTCCAGTTTTTGAGGGGATCCTCATTGTATTAAAGTCATTTTTGTTTTCAGAGATTGTTCACCAATGTGGCAAAGATTTCTGAAACTAGAGCATGAGAAGAACAGCTTACAGACCTCTGTGTATGGCCAGCAGAGGATCAGTGTTTACAGATTCAGCTTCAGAAAGGCTGACATGAAAAATAAGTTTTGGACCTCTACCAAGATGAAAGCCAAGAAGAGTAGGGTAGAAGGCCACCAAAACAAAGCAAAGCAAAACAAAACAAAACAAAATTGCCAAATACCCAAGGCTCTCCAAAGACAGATAGCTTGCGAAAGGCTGGAAGCAGATGGCAGATGCTAGCCAGGGATGTTGTGCAAGGGACTCCTTGAGTGAGTGGTTGGATACAATGACGTCTCTTTCACTTCTTAGATGCTATGATTCTACAGTGCTTCCCTCAATCTCTCACACAATGATTATTTTTATGAATATGGTTGGATCCTCAGAAGCTTAAATATCTGCACATCAAAGTATTTTCTAAATAATCAAATAAATTATATATAAATGGTTCTTGCTTCTAAAACCTTGTCTTAAGTGCTACCAATGTGCAGTGGATTGCCTTATACTCAATAACTGCTGTATATCGTGTTTGTTTTGAAAAATAAAATACACAGAAGAATTGCTCAAAAAATTTGATTATTCAATGATCAGAGAATGGGGAATCATGTCATTAGAGAACTCCCCCATGATATGGTAATAGTAACAATGACTGACATTATTAAATGCTAACTATCTTTCAGGTACTATTCTATGTGTTTTGTATATAATAATGTGCTTTGTGCAATATTCACAAAAATCTATGTGTGGATACTATTATTATTTCCACTTTACAGGTGAGAAAAATCAAAGTCCACAAAGGTTGACATAACTTGCTCATATCACACATTTGTGAGTGATAGAATCTGGATTCTAACTCAGCCAGCTTGACTCCAGAGGCTGTGTTCTAAATCACACACTCTATTGCTATAATATGTCTATTTTCCATTCTAAACTGGGCTGTGTGCATTTCAACACATCCACCACTTTACAGATTCTTAAGAGATGAAGTAACATATTGTAAAGATGGGAGCTCTGATTGTTTTTCTCTTAAAATGTTATAATGTTAATAACAGTCTTCATTTTACCTTTCCAGCACGCTGAAGTTCCTATGATCCTTGTTGACAAATCCAGTCACTGCTGCGGTTTCAATCATTCCTGTCAGAGCAAGTACCGGAGCAATGCTCAGAATCAGGAGAGTCATCTCTCATTCATACATAAAGGAGATGATCCCAGAAAGTCTCATGTTAGTTGCATTTTGTGTAAAGATACCAATCCTAGAACCTGTTGCTTATAACCAGATTTTTTTTTTTTTGGGAAAAAAAAAGTCAGTTAACTTTACGTTTATAAGACTCTGTATCATTAGGAATAAGAAATAAAGGAGGAGGGAGGAATAAACTCTTGTTAGTTATAGATTGAGTACACAGAAAATACATAACAATTTTGTTCAGAGTTCCATCTATCTCCCTCCAATATCTCTTGTTTTACATCCATTCCTTTATATTAAAATAAATGTTACAGCAAAAATACCAGATTGTCTTTGTCTCACGTATCAGTTTAGACCCTGTAACCATTGGCCTCTTATGTGTACTTTGGGCAGGGCCCTGTACATTTCAGATTTCAACTTAATCTCTCATCTAATTAATAAACTTTTTAATAGAAAAAAATAATTCTTATTCTTAAAAAACAGGGTAGACTTTCTTTTTTCTGGATTTTATATTTAGATTTATACTTAGAGATTAAATAAGAAAAATATTTTTAAAGTGCCCTCAACTAAGGAATCATTATGCTTCATTTTCCTGCCTTATATCCAAGACTGAGAAGTCCAAACGAACTGGCTTTTAGTTTAGTGGAACCCCATGGAAGACTGTAGAGAAGCCAGATAAGAGTCGGGCTTGGTGGCTCAGCCTGTAATCCCGCGCTTTGGGAGGCTGAGATGAGTGAACTGCCTGAGCCCGCGGGTTTGAGACCCACCTGGGCAACTTGGCAAGAACTCATCTCTACAATAAATCAAAAAATTAGCCGGGCGTGGTAGTGCGTGCCTGTAGTTCCAGCTACTTGGAAGGCTGAGGCAGAAGGATTGCCGGAGCCCAGCAAGTGGAGCCTGCGGTAGCCAGGAGCGTGCCACTGCACTCCAGTCTGGGCAAAAGAGTGAGACTCCAACTCAAAAAAAAAAAAAAGAAGCCAGATAGGAACAGGCTACCTGAAATTAAATACTATCTGTTTAAAGGGACACTTTTATATTGCTCTGAGACCTTTCCTTAAATAGTTTTGCAAGATCTTGCATCCCAATCCAAGTTAAGTATGTTGAAAGCTGAAGTTATAGGATTTCTTTTGTTTTCTCAGTGACAGATACACAGCCATACTCTTCTTGTTTCCGTACACCCAAACACCCAATAACAACAAAACAACTCACTTGTGCATGCATGTGCATACACATGACACTCTCCACCTCTTCAACTTATAAAATCTTACTGATAAAAAACTGATTTTGAAAATGACAGAATCATAGTCACTGTTAAAAATTCTAACTAAGCCGAGCTCAATGGCTCAGCCTGTAATCCCAGCACTTTGGGAGGCTGAGGTGAGTGGATTGCCTGAGCCCGCGGGTTCAAGTCCCGCCTGGGCAACTTGGCGAGACCAAGTCTTTACAATAAATAAAAAATTAGCCAGTGTGGTAGCACGCACCTGTAGTTCCAGCTACTTGGAAGGCTGAAGCAGAAGGATCACCAGACCCCAGCAGGTCGAGGCTGCGGTGGCCAGGAGCGGCCACTGCACTCCAGTCTGGGTGACAGAGTGAGACTCCAACTCAAAAACAAAAACAAAACAAAAAAAAGCAAAACAAAAATTCTAACTAAAAGAAAGGAGTGTGTTAGGTAAGTATTTTTTTACTGTTTACGATTGATAAAGTTGTGGTCACATCTGCTAGGAATTTTATGGGAAAATCAACATTTTAATAATTAATAGCATTAAAGTGCCAGTTTACATACATGCACCAAAGACATGAACTTAAAATTTAAGTGGTTGGAAAAGATGATTTGAATTATGCATGTAAATTCTTTTTGAAAGTTATACATTTCTATTTCATGAAGAGTAAAAATGGCAAGCTTGCTATATCTTAGCTTATATATTCACTAAAATAAAATCTAATTCACCTTCAATAATATTCTCAGGTGAATTTTTTATTTCTGTTCGAATGAAAATTATTTATGGAACCTATAAAAATAATATTTTTATCGTTTACATAAATTCTTTCTTTTTAAAAAACTTTTTGTAGAGATGGAGCCTTGCTGTGTTACGTAGGCTAGTCTTGAACTCCTGGCTTTTAGTGATCCTCCTGCCTTGGCCTCCCAAAGTGTGAATTCTCATTTTTCTACTGGTGAAGATATTATAATCATGCAAGGACTATAACTCATGCCATTTGAAGATGGACAGATCACATATATAAATTGAATTAGGTTACTATACACTAAGAATTATGGGCCTACGTGGGAATGCCATTTTGTACATAATACTGAGTTATATTCTCTCCCTTAAAATTTTAAGGATAATGAAGAGATAAATAATGATGTATGTTTGGGCTAGGTTGTGTCCTCCATAAATTCATGTGTTGCACTTTAACCAATTCTCAGTCCTCAGAAAATGACTGTATTTGGAGATAAGGTAATTATAAACAAACAAATACAGTAATGATTAAAGAGGCAATTAAGTTAACATGAAGTCTTTAAGTTGTGTCCTAATCTAATCCGACTGGCATCCTTATAAGAAGAGGAAATTTGGACACAAACATGTATGCACAGAGAGAAGACAGACCACACGAGGACACGGAGAAGAAGCCAGATACAAGCTAAGGAGGGAGGCCTCTGAGTAAAACCCAGTTCTGTCCCCACTTTGATCTTGGACTTCTGGATTTCAGAAGTGTGAGAAAATAAACTTCCATTGTTTAAGTTCATCTGTGGTTCTTTGTTATGGCAGCCACCCACCCATCACAAGTTTCAGGGTCACATACACCAGATAAGTGGGTGATCAAGCTGTGGAGCTTTGTACTGTTGGAGGCCCTCCTCATCTCTTATTAAATACTAAATGCTCCTGGTGTGGTGTTATCTTATGGTCCTTCATGCCCCTTCTTGAAGGACTCCTGGAAGAGGGAGTCTTTTAAAGGGCTAAACACGAAAGTATTACCATATAGTTCTCATGGATACACTTATATACATAAAAAACGTTAGAGATGAATTGTGTGGACATATATTCAATTCAAAAGACCATGGTGGGGAGAGGCTGGGTGTTGTTAGTGGGTGTGTGGCTTCTAAGCTTTGGGACTGGAAGAGATTACTGGGAAACTGAGTAGATGAAACAAGGAGATTCCCTGAGGCTGTGTCAGGGATCTCTGCTCTTTAGAGCTTCAAGGGTGCAACCATTTGTAAAGGACTTAGGGTTTAGCCCTTGCCTACTTGCTTTGCTGGATGTGTCCCTAAATTGGCTGGTTTCTCTTCTAGGGAAATGTCAGGAGTGCTGATTTTCAAGTTATCTTGCCTTTTCTGATGCTAAAGCTCACCTTAAGAATAACTTTTCCTCTTTCCCAAGCCCATTTGTCTCCTTTTGAATTGAATATATGTCCACACAATTTGTCTTTAACATTTTTTATGTATATAAGTGTATCCATGAGAACTATATGGTAATGCTTTTGTGTTTAGCCCTTAAAATGTCTACTAAAGTATTGTGCTTAAAATCTGTGGTATAATAAAATTTAATCTTTATCCCTTTTTCCTGAAAAAAGCTCTTAAAAAATACTAAATAATACAACCACACAAAAAAGTATACATATTGTGCTATGTAGTAGTGACATTTAAAAAAATTATCGTTACATCTTTGTTGAGAATAGGATAGTCATTATTCTTTAAATATAAATTTATCTTAACTAAAGATTACTAAGAAATTATTTGCCATCAATTACTTGATAGGTTATGTTTTGTAGGCCTTTATATATTGACTAATTTTCACTTTGTAGTTTATTTTCATATTTTGAAGCCAATGACTTGTTCTTCAGAGCTCAATGGCACTATACTTACATTGACAAAAGGATAAAATATAACTATTGGTCAGTTTTTCTTTTCTGTTTGAAAATTTTCTATTGTAGTTCCTGATTCCTCACTGCCTTCCTTTGTTTTTATTTTATTTAGTTTAAAGATGACAATTCTAGACAATAAATAAAAAGGAAATGAAATACAGAGTAGAAAATTTAAAAAGTAAAGATGGAAAGCATGCTGTTTTTGTAAGATTGTGTGGAATATTATAAAAAAAGTAGAGATACTTAACAGAGTCACACTGGCTGAACATTAGAGAGTCATTTAAAATTTGCTTAATCTCATTTCTAAAAGCTTCCAAGCATAAACTTTGCAGATTTTTTATGAGACAGTCATGTGTTTGAGTTTTTTGTTTGTGACACAAGAACTTTCTACAAAGTGACTTGTATTTGCTTACACTTGCTTGCTCAATAAACTTGGATTTTTCACTCTTATGTGAATCTGCTGCTTGAAAATAAGATGATATCCTTTCTATATAGCATTTTAGTTTAAATTACCCCAAACTTATTGAAATATTCAGTCAGTGCAACCAAGAACAGGCCACAAACTCGGCCTTTTGGTGGTGGTCAGTAAATACATAAGACTTTCTATATTTATTTCAAACTATTTAAGAGACGATTGTTAAACAAAAATAATTATAATGTAGTGTTGGTTTTATTACATATGTAGAAGGAAATTATATGACAGCAACAGCAAAAGATTGGGTGGGAAAAATGGAAGTACTACACTCTTGTTAGTTTTTACACTATAAATTGACATGGTATATCACTTGAAAGTAGACTGTGATAAGTTAAAAATGCTTACTATAATAAACCTCAAAGTGACCATTAAAATAACAAAACAAAGAATTATACCTACAAATATCACCTTTCCTCCACTCCTCAAAAAGAGATGGAATGAAATAATAACTTTAATGCAAAAGAAGGCAGAAAAATAGGAAAATTGTACAAAGAACATATGGAATAGAAAGCAAATAGCAAAATGAGAGATTTAAAATGGTCTGAATATCCCAATTAAAAGGGATCTATATTCTGACCCTCTACCTGGTTTTTCATTGACCATAATGTAAGAATAGTTCTTATATTTTTTAAATAGCAGGAAAAATATCAAGAGAATAATAGTTTGCATCATGTGAAAGTTATAAGCAATTCAAATTTCAGTGTCTATAAATACAGATTTATTAAAACACAGTCATGCTCTTTTGCT